GGCTGGCAATTAATCAATTTTTTTGTGCCTTTCAGAGTTTTCCTCTGAACAATATTCTTCCTCTGAAGCTCATTAGCCATCAAAACCTGTCATGTCTACACATGTTTTTCTTGCACCTCATTAAGAGATTATTGATTGTTGGCTTCTACCTCTTTCAGAATTTGCTTCAGAAAATTAATTTCAACCATGAGTGCAATTTAACTGAATGCTTTTGCCAATGCTTGATAATGACTTGCTTTGTTAGAATAATTTAAAAGTTTTCATCATATTTATTTTATTTTCCCCCCTGCAAAACATGAATCGTGTTCAGTTGAAGCAAAAATAGGGAGAAACCCAACCTTGATAAAAATGTAGAATGTTATCTTAAGATAGATGGGAGCCTGGAGCAGTTTCAGAAATGCAAGAAAACTTCATAATTGCCATTGATCAATTTGTAACAAGTGTATCTTGTGGCCACCAGATCTCTCTTGCTTTGAGATTTGTCAATATAGTCATTCCATTGAGGAAGGAACATAGGCCAAGCAATTAACATTTTTTTTTTTTCAGGATTGCTTTGGTAATTAGGGCCAGTTTTTCACTGGTAGGTTATTAATTATTCAGGTCTCATGGGTTTCTTTTAATAGGAAACATTGGCAAATTCTTTCTGCGCTCATGAATGAACTTCTCCTGAGTCATCAGCCAGTGAAGTCAGTCAGATCTTATTTTGCTCAGGAAGAAGAAAGAAGAAAAAAGGCTATTTACATCTAATAGTTCCTTGATGTTACGTGCATTCTGGTTACTGCCTATAGTGAAGGGTAGGCTTGTCTTGACAAGCTGCTCTGGCAGGCAGTGCAACAGTACCCACTCTACAGGGCTACGGTTGAAGTAGAGAGAGATGAAGGACCAGATTTGTCCAAGGTTTGTAACTGCTCTTGGAGGCTGATAATTACCTAATGAGAGTCTCAGAAGTGCATTCATAATGTGAGGCATCAAGATGCTGTTGTTTCCATGCTGAAATAAAGTAGAAATGGAGCATCAAACCTTTTTGTGTACTTTTGACATTGCAGTGAGATGATTATAGCACCTCATCCTAGAAGATGTAACACTAATGGTCTTCTTCCCCAGAAACCCTCTCTTGACTGACAAAGCTGTGTTAAGAGGTTTTCCTTGTTTATCCGGCCTCATTGCTGGCTCCTTGTTCCTGCCTCCTGCTTTTATCACACAGTTTTTATAGACCCCCTCAGTTGTGTCAAAATTGTCTTTTGCAACAACAGTGGAAAAATGGATAAATGAACTAGTATGAGTCAAAAATCAACCCTTGAGAACTGTACTGTGGGGATGGAGGGCAGGTGTTTCTAGAAAAGAATCATAGGATCATTAAGGCTGGAAGGGACCTCTGGAGACTGTCTAGTTCAAGCCCCTTGCTCAAAGCTGGGTCAACTAGAGCAGTTTTCTCAGTGCCATGTTTGATCAGGTTTGAATACCTTCAAGAATGGAGACTCCACAATGTTGTGTTTTAGGCTGGGCTGGCCCCTAAACGAATAACAGATGCTTCTCTGAGCAACCAGCTCCAGCACTTCACTACCTTCACAGTTAATTTTTTTCTTATGATTTTGTGGAGTTTCTTGTATTTCATTGTGTGCCTGTTGCTCCTTTACTGGGCACCACTGAGGTGCCCTCTAAGGATATCTGATAACTGGAGCTTGGGCTCTGGTTTCCCAGAGCTCCCTGTTCAAGCCTTGCTGGTGATTTTTTGACCTTTCATCCCTCTAGGTAGAGAGCCTAATAGGGGACCTGACTAGATGGGTCCTTCTGGTCTTCAAAGCCTCAGATGGAGAAGTTTCCCCCTCCATGATGTTGGTTGAGGTACTCTTCCTGCTTTATGTGCTTCTCTTCTCCCAGCCTCCCACAGTTAATGGTACCCCTCCACTGTTTTGGCAGGAATGGCTGGGTTGACCCATCTGTCTCACTTAACTAATTAGGGATTGATTGTGTGAGATTCAGGCTTCTAATTTATTTTAAATGAGGCAGGTTAACCTGCAATCTGTGGTCTCCCATAGTATACTGAAAAACAACATTTTAAAGTAAACAACACAAATCCATTCAACCACCAATAATAAACCCCCCAAAATCTACAGATGCATTTGCTGTGGTAATTGTTCTGCATGTCACTGGAGGAGAGACATTTAAATGGCTTTCAATTAGGAAATACGTTATCTATATGGTTTTAAAGCCATTTAAAATGAAAAGAAACTTCTAAAAAGAACATGTGGGCAAATATTTTGTTTCATAGAACAGATGGGCCAGTTAGTCACCTGATTTTGTATTCTAACTTCTTGTGTGATGAGCTTCTCTCACTAATTCCTGGACACAAGACTCTTTCCTTGTGGCTGGATACTCAGGCATTCACAGCCCATGAGTATGTTTGCCTGAGGATAACTAATCATCTCTCCTGGCCCCAGAGAGGTCTTTGACTTGACAGAGTACTTTTTAAGCAGGACCAGTAGCCACCAGCTGCTCCCTCCTGTTAGTTTGGTTCTGGTTATGCTGGCTTCTGTTCAGCTCATACCAGTGTGCTTAATGAAATTGCCACCTGTCACATCTCTGTTTCTGAGCTGTACAACCCAGCGTGAGACAACCAGGTTCCATCTCAGCCTTGCTGCAGCCAGTGGCAAAGCTGCTGTCAGCCTTAGGGAGCTAAGAGTTTCCCTAGGTGTTCAATGAGGTATACTGTACAATTATGGAGACACCTACCTACAACCTGTTGTTTTTCTGGCACCTGGAAGCTGGGAAGCGCCAGACAGGCAGTACGCTGTGCCATGTGGGAAGTCAGTCCAGTTTCTCTCCGGCCTTTGGCAGCTTTGTGTGCTCCAGTGAGAAGTTAAGAGGACTTGATGGATGATAATGATTGGATTTGTAATGCTACTGCATTAAGCGTGCTGTATGGATAAAGGCTGTGGGTGAAATCCCCCTTCCTTGTACCAGTTCCAGGTTTGTAAAAACATTCAGGGTGCATGCTTCTTCCTGTAGTTGGTGGGACTCTAGTACTGTAAATGCCTTTATGGATCAAGGCCACTGCTAGGGATCCTTTTCGGTAGAATAAAAGAATAAGCTCAGGAATTGTGGGCAGGTTGGGTGTAAAGGGCCTACTGTTATGACCACAAATAGCCACAGACCAATGTGCTCTCTCTTAAGAAGTATTAACCACAAGGGTGCTATGTTCCTAAGTCCCAGGCACCGCTCTATACTCTTAGTGAAGGTGTTGAGTTCTCTCTTAAAAGCAGTTGAACTTATTTTGCTCTGTTGTTCCCATTAGCAGGCTGTTTCAGACCCTAATTGCTGTAGTGGTTAGGAACCCTCTTTTAATTTCCAACCTAAATGTATTCATGGCCAATTTATATTCATTTGTTCTTGTGCCAGTATTAGCCATTAATTCAAATAGTTCTTTTGTCTTCTGGTGTTCATCCTCAGGATAGATTTGAAGAGAGCAGTCTCCCCCCTTTCACCAGCTATTTTACTAGTCTAAACAAGATGAGCCCCTTTGGTCTCCTCTTGTAAAACTGGTTCTTCACCCTTCACTCTTTCTTAACTTGGCTATATGATTTTTCTTACTGAAGTAAGTGCATTTACTCTGTGGACCCGCTGGCAAACCGTAACCATTCTCCTCATGTATCCCTGTTCTTCATATTTATCTATGCAGAAGATAGCTGAATAAACCAGCCCCATCCTTAGAAAGATGTGTGAAGGACACCAGCCATATGTCCTGCTGCAGCAAAAACTGCTGTATTTCATTTGTGTTGGACTACGGCTAATGCAAAGACTTTGCTTTAGGCTGGTTTCTCTCATGTGGTGTTCTTGATCTCTCCCTCCTGTCTCCCCTCCTATTTTTTTTGGCAGGAGGAAGTAGGGTAGTCAATGGGATGGTGTGTAAGAGCAAGCCCTGCTTTCTTCTTGACTTTGCTTCCTGTCTGCCAGCACAGTTGTATTCAGCTGGAGGATCATACTGAATATTTCCAGCTGCTCTGACATCTCTTAGCATTTCAGAAGTCTGAATTTCCTCTTTGCTGGCACAGATTTAAATGCCTTTCATTAGGCCTTGGTCTTCATCACACAAAATATCAGTGGTACGTTCAGTTTTCATGATGAAGAGAGATCCTACTGGGAGAACATCAGTGAACTTCTGAGATAGAACTGGTAAGCTTTGAGGGTTTTGTTCACTGGTGTTGGCAAGACTCTGGAACAGTTCCCTGCAGGTCTAATTATTTTTACTAGACAAACTCCCATTGCAATGAATAGGAAGTTTGGACTGTGCCGTGATTTCAATGGACTTTATGCTGTAAGACTGTCATGTTGGAATAATTCATAATGTACCATGAGAGGGGACAGCACTGTGAGAGGAACGTGCTTGCTGGCGTGTCTCATATAAGCAGGGCTATGCTCTAGCAATAGTTCAGTATCACAGTTTGACTGTGTATATTGTTTTAATTTGCGGTGTCTTGGCAATGCAAGCAGTCCCATTTGCTAGTGTTTGAAAAGAACAAGGGAAATTAAATATGCAAGAGCATTAGAGTACGATTCAGCATTTGACATAAACCCACAAAATTAAAGCAATCCAGACATGCGCCTGCTTCTCTGCCTTTTATTTGCATCAACGTGCCCCTCAGCTTCAGCTCTGTGACATCTACCGCTTTGAAGGGACAGGTCTGTGAGTTTGTGATGATTGAGAGATTTAAGGATGGACTCTGGTGGCAGTATTATGCTTCAAACTTGTTTATTTTTTTTTTTTTTCAAAATCCTCCCTAACATCAGAGCCATGGGTAGGACTGGCTTTACTCGCAGAGCCTGACTTATAGGAGGTCCATGTGTCTGTGGGGGTCAGGATTAATAGGGTAGATACTGGGAGAGAGCTTGTTCCCGATTCTGAGAGTGTTTTTTCTTGGTTAGCTTTAAGCAAGTAATTTCTATTTCTCATGCCTTGCTCTCCCTCCCATTTTCTTTGTTTCCAGAGCTTTGAGACCTGATAGGAATGTGCAGGAGTGGGATGTTCCCAAAATATCGCCTGCCATTTGGTAACCCAAGCAACGGTTGGTGTGCTTGTGTCACAAGTACTATGGCCTTTTTATGTTCTCCTGGACCTCATCTTTGGAAAGGTGTGTTTTCTCTTCCTGCCAAAATGCAGCCTATAAAGAAGTTAAGGTTGGTTGTGTTTTTTGGGAGGGAAAGTGATATTTTTTCTAAGAACTGGTACAGAAAAGAAGTTCAATTTCTGTGCTGTTAGCTTTTCATTGAAACCTCCTAAATTTTTGTGTTAAAAAAAAAGTTCTTTGTGAAGTTGTTCAGGTCAAAATGTTTTTCACATTTTCACAGAAGTCTTCAAAAACTTCTCGAAGGTGTTTGACCAGTTCTCCGATACAGCATTGTTGGAGCCAGTGCACGAAAAAGGCAAAGTTGAAAAGACTTGGGGGCAAAGCCAGTTCATGTTCCTAATCTGGTTCTTGGAGGTGATATGCTCCCTCTCTTGTGAGTAAGTCCTAAAGTGTGTTACAGCAGCACAGTGTTCTCTTGCACAAGCTACACTTGGGCTGTGGGTCAAGGATGGCATTTGATCTTCAGAGCTGTGTCTCATCTGCTGTTAATGCAGGCAGGAGTATGTAGGAGCTGAGACTTGAGAAAGAAACATAAGGGATCACATTGAAACACTGTGGGTCAAAGCGTATCAGAACATTTTTCTGCCTTAAACACCTTTTTTAGAACATTGGGCAGAATAATGCTGCTTTTCTTGCAGCTCCAGTTTGTCCTGTCTGCTTTGATTGCAGGCTCTTTGGGACTCCCATTATTCTTTACAGCGATTGGCATTATTGGGGCCACAACAGTTGTAGGGGGGAGAGGGGAGGACCGGCATGATGACAAGAAAATATTAAATGATAATAGTAGGGAGATTGTTTGTAAAAGTCAGAATCCTTGGCACAGCTCTCAGACTAGAATTTCATTCAGACAGTAAAGATGCAACTGTCCATTATCATTTAGATACAGAGCTGGTAAGTCCAAGCACTACGTATCCCAATTCTGTTGATCCATGGAAGCTTTATAAGCAGAATAACAAAACACAAGACCCCAGAGGCTGTATCAGGGCAGTACTTCAGTGGAGTAAAAAGTTGCTCCATGCTTTTGTTTCCATGGGCACCCTCCAGTTACTATTTTGAAGCGGGGATTACTGGTTCAATAATTAATTTGTTGATTTACAAATAAAAGGTGTAACACATCAGGGTGCACTTTTTATATGAGAAAATGTTAGATTATAGCTTTCAGGTTACTTACTTGCTGCATGTACAAAGTTAAGGCAGTTGCACTTTGGTGTGCCAGTCAATAACTTCAGTGAGTGGAGGGTGTAGAGAGAAGAAAGAAAACTTCTTGCTGTCTGATCCTCTGGATATGAGTTGCACTTGCCAAAAGCCAAAGGAGAATAGTCTGCTCACAGAAAGAGCATCTAACAGGGCTGCCGACAACCAGGATCGTGAGAAAATAGCAACGGATTGTTTTAATCAATACAGAAGGACAGGTAATTGATTTTAGGGATAGCAAGGGGTTACTCAGCCAATGATTAACCACCCTATCAAAGTTATCTGGTAAAACCATGGATTATGCTGAACTGGGGGTCCTGGCTCTTTGAGGAGAGTTCAGATCCGGATTTTCCTCTTCCCCAGTGCTCTTTGCTGCTGACATGCTGCCACGCTCAGTGCCCTTTGTTCTTTTTCACAGGCAAAGGGATTCTCTTCTGCTGCAGCATCCGCACAGGGGCTCTGGGAAGAGCCGTGGTGTCAGTGCATGACATGAGGCAGAGCCAGAGCTGCTCAGAAAATCGTTGTGCTAAGTTTCCCTACATTTAAAAGGGGTAAAGGGGATTACAAGGTGAGTGTAGGAAGCATCAAGTTATTTTGTTTTTCCATCCTCCCCATCTTTGCACATCCTCCCAAGTCTCCAGTCCTTTAAGAATGTTTAAAGGGCCATTGTTGCTAAAGGAGATGGTACCTCTTCTCAGAAATACTCAGTGGTGCCATTGTTATTGAGATGGTTGGTGAAATAAAGCAGGTGAAAATCCTATTGCTGTAGTTTGAGGAGTTCTGGAGCACTGTCCTTATTCTTATGACTAACACGAGCCTTTTCTGTAAGCAGTTGAGCGTCCATCTCAGACTGCAAAATAATTTGCGGGATATACTTTCTTTTTAATTTCTGTCCACTGCCATTTCATTACTGTGTCTAAACAGGAGACTGTATTTAGAAATAATATTTTGTGTCTTAAGGTAATGAGCCCATTCGATCCCACTGATGCTCTGGATGAGATTATTCTGTACTCTACAATTTGTTTGTGAGACCCATTAGAAAAGACCAAAACCCTTTCAGACTTTGATAAATCCATACAAAGAAAAAGTTCCTTCTGTGTTTAGGACTGGCTGAATATTTTTGATCAGTGTCTTTTCAGCAAAAAAGGATTTTTGCCAAACTGAATATATACATGGGAAAACCTACCGAAGAGAAGAAAGATGCTCTGCGTTTGCCAGAAAGAAAATGTGTTTAATTCTTTTTTACAGCACGTGACCTCAAAAATGATAGGATTAAATTATTCAGTATCTTTCAGTAAGTCTGTAGAAGAGCTAGGATGTCAATTTTGGTGCCCTCAGCCCAAATTCCAGAGTTTTAAACACAGAATCATGTTCCTACTTTGTCTTTTAAGTTGGTTGGCCCCTACTATTTCCCTGAGCCCTGTGATAGTGCAATAGGTGTGGATGAACAGTCACAAGAATGTTAATTGTATCCCCGGCTTTCTTGTTACTGATGAAAATTGCTCAAACTTTGTGCCTTGTTTTCTTTAACTATAAGATAAAGATAATGCTGTCACCTTAGTTTTGCATTGTTCCAAAAGTGGTATGTGCGATTATTTTGCTTGCTGAACACTCAGCAGGGCCAAGAGCTGTGGTTGTTACTTGACATCATTAAAATAAATGGATTATTTTCATGTTAATGCATTACATTGGTGGGATTTAAAGCAGTGCCATCTGTGAAAGCCTACAGGAGCTGTGGTAAGGTTCTGCCCTTGCACAGTTCTTACACACTTCTTCTGTTGCCTTCAGAGAAGTTCCTTTTTTGTATAGCATTTGGCATGTGCTGAAATACCTAGATGAATTGGAAGGTAAGAACAGTGGATGCGATGCCAATTTTTTTTTTGTGTGCCTTGCAATGCTCTCTTCGAGGATTGCACAAGAAATCCTGGGCAACTGCATGAAGATCCAGGGAAGATGTGTTTGGAATTCTGACTTTGTTGTGTGTGCTCAGACGTCTCAAACTGTTCTCAAGGTATTTCAGTATAAAGCATAAAAGTTTCTAATTAAACTTAGAGATCAAGAACACATGTACTGAAATATTTCCCACTGTTGGATGCAAAGAGTATTTATGTGATGTGTCAAAGAGCAAAAAGTGCTGCAGAAGCCACAAGTAGTTGTTGCAGATTGCATTTTGAAATACTCATGGTGTACAGGGCAGCTGATAAAAATAACCGTGTCCATATTGATGAGCCTGGTCACAGACGTGTTTATTTTTACAGAATGTAAGGAAGCATGCTCTTTATATCCGGTATCTACCCTCAGTTATAAGGCCTCCCTCTTTTGGGAAAAAAAAATAATAATTACCATCAAGCTGTAATTCAAAGGTTACCATTCTTAGACAAAAACCAGGAAGGAGTAATCAGACTAACCCGGCTTAATGTGTGTGTAATTCCCAACTGCTTTCCTTGATTCAGCTTGAAATACAGTCTGTCAGGTTTTCTTATACTCTATTGAAACACTTTCTTGGACATCAGACTAAAATCAGAGTATGGACTGAGCGGTACCGAGCACACGGAACATAAACCTGTTCCTATCTGTTGCTGTTCTGCACTTGAAAGAGAGATGGTACTGCAACCAGGTCTGGCTGAATATCCCTGCGTGCTTCTTTATAGGACTAATTAATGTCCCTGGAGTGCACCCAGAAGGATCAGACTGGTATTGTGTATATTTCAGTTTGGTGGGGTTTTTTTGAGTCAGAAAGATGGCATTTGACCTGCTGGTTAGTGGATCCTGTTGCTAGGAGTAAACCTCACCCTCACTAATTAGTGCTAGAGAGCTGCTTTTGGCCTCCCACTCTGGGATGAAAGGTTCAAGTGATGCGATGCTGTTCAAAATCCATTAAGCAAACAGAGTCTTAAGGAGCCTTTGGACTTCTTGACCTTATCCAATCTCAAACAAATTCTTAAACCTAATCAATGAAACAGAATAACTTCGAGGTCTTTACAGCTATCTGCTCTTTAGTGAGTTTAATCCAATGCTATAAGGGGAATGATTTTTTCCTGTTTTTAACATAAAGGCTGATAGCCCTCTGAGCTGTGTTTCATGCATCTTGCTAGGATGTTGTTCTCCCAGATGTTATTTTTAAGGCTACAGCATGAAGCTGTTGTGCTAGTAGGCACTGCTAGACCTGACAAATGCGTTCAGCCATTTGGAGCCTAAAAGTACTTGACTAGTCCTGGCAATAGGTGAGATTTTCACATGCACATCTGTAACAATATGAGAACTCATTGTGAACAGCATGCGCCATCTTCCTGTGAATACGTAAGCAAAAGGGACACGAATTATGTGTAAACACTGATAGGCTTGAAGCCCAAGAGAAGGGATGACTAAGTCATATCTCTGCTATAAATGCAGACATAATGAAAAATCTCAGGTTTCTTGGGGACACAGAGAAGATCCCAGTGGTCTTGGCATTACGAGGAGGCCCATCAAACAGCATTAGCAGACTAATTAAGTGTGCAGCTTAAACTTAATTTTCCTGGTGGCATTAAGACAGATTAAATATTATTCATTTTGTGGTGTCCTTGGTTAGTATTTTTCACTTAATGTTACTGTTTTTTTTTTTAGTTTAGGAAATGCTCCTGAGCAGGATTTAAAAATGGGATTTTCTGAGCAAATCTTCATAACTTACAGCACCTGGGTTCCTATTTCTCATAAGAAAAGCACTCCTTTTAATGAAATAGGTTAATTATGTGAAGTGTGAAGATAGTGGGTAAGCAGAGAAAATTTGCTAATCTGTAAATGAGGAGGAGGACCCATTTTATAAGGTGCACTTTCTGTATTGCTGTGTTTCTTTTTCTGCCATACAAACTAGGTGAGGCTGTGTGTTGGCACCAGTATGAAACTGCAGGATACCAAGTATGCTGACCTGTGTTTGTGCTTTGTTTCCTGATATGTGTGTTCATTTGCAGTGCAAATATACAATACAGTCTTACACGGAATGGGAGCTGCAGCCTCGTGCTCTGGACCTTAATAGTTCTCTTTATGACTCTACAGAAACCTGGAAATAAGTGAAAGACTCGGATGCTTGGGGGTAAGGAGTTAGTTTTTCTTGGCCTTTTTTTTTTTTTTTCCCTCCTGGCAATACGTCTTTGATTTTTGTAATTACTTAAGTAGTCTTGAAGTGCTAATTCTTGCTCCGCAGGTAAACCTGGACCCTGCAAATGCATGTCCAGATGCTGATTGTGCGTGCGGTGGGAGTTTGACTGATGTATCTATTAATAGGGTATATGGGATCTGATCTTTCAGACCTGGGCTCTGGCATTCTGTCCCAAGGATTTGGTGGTCTCTTCAGTCTATTGGGAAGTGAGACTCCTGGAGATCATAATAAAACTTGAGTGTTCAGTGACAGAAATAGTGGCCTGTTTAGACTTTGACTTCTGGGCATCTGCAGGCTGCTATGATCTTTAATTACATGATCCCATACTGCCTTTTCATCCCGGTCTCTAGGTAGATTAGCAACTATAAAATAACTGAAAAAGAGGAAAATATAGAATAACCTGAAACAGATAGTTGTGATTTATTCCACTTTGTGAAATGAATGCTCTGGTAAAGGGTAAGGTAGTGGGGCACTTCCAAGCTAAAGAAATAGGCAACATTTGAATCATTTTTATGTGTCCTTGAAATTTTCCATTAGTCTTTACCGCACTAGGAATCCCCAAGCATATGGTAGCACTTGATGTTCTTAAAGGTGTTTTCCAACCTAAATGATTCTGATTCTAAATGTGTCATTCTCTGACATAATGAGTAAAACTGGCAACATTTTCAGGAGCATAATGCATCCCAGGATATGTGGGAGGACTCTTTTTCATTTATTTTTTTTTTCTGCATGGCTGTTTGTGACTTATTTTTCCAAATGGATGCTTATATTGTTTTATTTCCAATATCCCACGGGGGTTATTGGATCTGGAAGGTTGCTTTTCTGCTTCTGCAACTTCTTCATTGCTGTTACCAGTCTGTAGTAATACAGAGGGAACTGGTCAAGAGAAACATTGGACAATATCTGTGATTACTGCTTTTGCCTCATTTGCACTGAATTACTATTTCTTAGTGGAAGCACTCACTAGTGCTTTGTGCTTTCTACTTGTAGAGGAAGGTGCAATTCTTCATACATAGGAAGAACTTATGTATGAAGAAATACATAGCCTGTTAGATGGGCCAGGAAAAAAGAATAAACAGAAGTATTTTTCTAAGTCAACAAAATTCATAAAGATCAAGAGGGATTTACTAAAAGATGCTTCAGCATAGAGAAAATACAGGCTCATAGCTGAGGCCATGGAAGAAGGATGGAGTCGATTAGAGGTGGTTATTAAAGGCCTCCTCCTTCGGATTTGTAACAGCAATCTCTCCAATCACCCTGTTCAGTACACTCCTGTGATATTTTGCTTTGTAATTTGAGGGACCAGGAACAAGGGAAAGATGAGTGCTTGCAAATAGGAGGTGATTGATGCTGGTGTGTGGATGGGCTTGCACGAGTCATGTGAAGCCTATGGATGTTTTTACCTTTCAAAAGGCTTGCGAATAGCCTTTGTGAACGTTAAAAGGCAGGAGTGCTAGGAAACTTTTCTATTTTTCACACTGTCATTACAGGAGCAAGGTTTTAAAGGTAAAAAACAGTCCATAGGCTTCACACTACACGAGTAGTAAAGTAATACGTCTGATTTCAAAGAGATGGACAACTTAATTGGTGTATAACTTTAGGGCTAATAATGCATACTTTTTTTTTTTGTAATATATTATGTATACTTTGTGTGTCAGCTGGGTAATTTGTTTCTGCCTTCTACCTTAGGAAACAGCTGGACGGTGCTATTTATCTTATTTCTTGCAGCAGACTTTTGTAAAGCATGTGCTGGGCTGCTGATAGAGTACATAACAGTCCTTGCAATCTTTACTAATCTGAATCCATTTTCCTTGAGAAGCACAGAATGCAGGATATGGCTCGAACAGACAAAGTGCATTTAGTTTGGGACTGGTGCATGAATTTTCCAAACAGAATAGCTAATCAAAGAGTGAGGTTTATGGAATAATAATGTGGTTGGAACTGTTTGCTTCATTTACTGATACAAGCCATGTTGAAAACAGGATTTTGTGAAGCCAATTTTCTGAGGGTGATATTCTACCTCCATCCACACTGCTGAAGTGTAAGTTGTGTACTGGGTATTCTAAGGACTCTGAAGAGACTTAACAGCTGAAAACCTACTCAGTGGCCCAGTAGATGGAGAAGGTTGTGATCCCCACCATGCTCCACACTACAGCAGGAGGGAACAGAGAAGATGGGGCTGGATGGGGCTTTGAGCAACCTGCTGTAGCGGGAGGTGTCCCTGCCCATGGCAGGAGGGTTGGAACTTGATGATCTTTAAGGCCCCTTCCAACTCTAACCATTGTATGAGTATATGATGATTCTAAGATGTGGGGACTGCTGTGAGTTTGTGGTTTGAATCGCTGTCTCTCCCCCCAAAACAAAGGGACTATGAAACTCATCTTCCCCTCCCCAGATGCCAAGCATGTTTCTTTTGTTTCGTCTCCTCAAACATACACATATATTTTCCTGTGTTTATATGTAAATAAAAGCAAAACGCTTGTCCCTAGAAGTCTCTGCCTGCTGAGAGAACAGATGATCTGCTTGACAACTAGGAGTCATGTCATTGGATGTACTGCTGGCACATGGTCCTTTCCTTCAACTAGGTGCAAGGTACAAAAGATGTAAAAATTAGAATGAAAGTCAACTTCATGCTTTGCCAGGGGGATGACTTCTAACTTTAAATTGTTTGGGTTTTTTTTTTTTAAAGTTACAAAGTAACTGGACCTTGCCTTCCCCAGTATCCCTCCTTGAGCCCAAGACACAAACCCATGATGGAAGACAGGTTTGTGTCTGACACAGCTCGGCTTTCCTGCAGTACGTTTTGTAACTCGCTGAACAAACAAAGTTGTGGTATTATTATTATTATTCCTATTACTATTTCTATTACTTTTTACTTCATTTAATGGATTCGCGGTGTCTTCCTCTGTGCAACGCAGCCTATCCGTGTCAGCACTTTAAATTATTAAAGTTGTTTATTATTTATTATGTGTTAAATGCTGACAATATGATGCTTAAAGGATGTAGGCTGAAATAGAAGAATTTACACAAATGTGATTTATGCTTCTTGCAAGCTGCCTTTATAAGAATTCTGAGCTTTCATATTTGCAGATCTCAGGTTAGTGGGTTTTACAGGCTATTCAGCTAATTCAGCCCCATCTTTCAAACATCTGTTGCCTCTGAAAAGTTCTCAGTGTAAAGAGGAAACTGTTATTTATAAGAAGAAGCTGTCAAAGATCAGCTATGTTCAACAATCTAAAGCATCGCTTACGTACATCAGCACTAAACTATGCTCATTTGGATAGCATGAATGGCTAATTTTAGCTTAAAATTGGAAACAATTATGGGTTCAGGAAGAAAAGTAGGGCTGTGTGTCATTAGTAATTGATTTCTTTTGTGGAAAAGCTTGAAATGAGCAGTTAAGAAAAAAATACCAACACAACATTAAGTGATGCAACCTGTCTTGTGCAATATGCAGATGTTTCTCAGATTTGTGTCTGTCTCAGGTGGATGGATACTTCTGGTGTCATTCCCTCTCTTCCCTCTGCCTCTCTATAATACTTTCTGCATCTTTCAGCTGCTGCTGTAGAAGTCTCAACTGGGAACATTGTGCAACTCATGTGCACAAGAGGAGAGTGGTATGCCATGGCATAGGAAGCTGCGAATCACTTGGTAAGATGTTGTTGCTGGCTTTCAATTTCACAAGGTCTTACAAGTAAATAGTTGTCCCACCTGTGCATCTTACAGTCAACTACAGTAGGCCAGTCCTACAGCACAATAATGTTCTGTACACTGATGAGACAATCTTAGAAGCTTTCATACAATGTCAGTTAGGCATAGGACTAACTGTGGCAACATACTCCTGTTCCTTCTTTCCTCTGTTTATTGGAATAGTTTGTGATCTTTCAAGGGAATGGTCCTTGGCAATCTAAGGAATAGCTAGAGGTGTGGAATCCTGACCTCTCTCAAATGAGTCAGGTTGAAGAAATTGCCTTGCACTCATTTTTCAATTGAATCTCTCCTTCTCATCTACAAGGAGTCACCAGAATGATCAGACGAGCTGCTTGGGACCTGAGTTGCCATCCTTTCTGCTGCCAGTGCTATACTGTCCTTTTTAAGGTACTTAAAGGCTAACAAAAGAGGGGAGAGTATTGCCCACAGTGTTGACATTATAAAGGATCACTTCACTGACCACCAGCTTTAGGAATGCTTTGGGCTGGTAACATAAAGCACATTTGCCTCAGTGGAACCAGCAAGCGGGGAGAGGAATGAAGAAATAATTGTTGTGTCTGGAAACCAGAATTTCAAGAGACTCTGTTGGAGAATTTCAAGACTCTGTTGGATCCCATCTCTGGGAAGGGTTATGTTTATGTGGTCTTCTGCAAACAGATGTGAACTGTGAGTCTGGATTGATTAGTGTAAACTCAGTGTTGTGCTAATGTGATGATGTGGCTTTTGGATTAGAGCTAGATCATGTCCAGTTATTTTGGTGTGTGGACGAAGTGAGTGTGTATTTGTCTGCACAAGATCACATAGACTTGCCAGGTGGGATCCGGTTCCTCAAGCGTTAGGTAATTTGAGGCCATTTGAGATATGCAAGGGTATCCAGTAAGGGGCTGACAGCAACAATACAGGACCTACATCTGACCTATGCTTCTCTGGAGAGGTAGCTAGCAGCCAAACAGGATTCCTGGGGCCATCTCAGAAGGGCTGGGCATCTACGTGGACCATGTGCCTTCTTTGCTGTCCCAAGGGTTGAGGAGCAGACCTATGCCCAATTTTTTATATGGTTGCCTGGGAGAAAAGGCGTGTCCTTCAAGGGGCTCAGCCGAAATAGGATTTGCTGTCCTTGTTTCTAGGAGAAGTCCACCTAGAAAACAGGAGGCTTGTGTATGGCCAGGAAGCTTAAAGCCAGAGGTGTTCTGTGGAGCTATAGTTTACAAATATGCGCAGGGAAGTTGGCTGGAAAAGAAGGATTTCCAGTTTGGTGAAGACTTCTGTATTTGATTTGGGTTCAAAGCTGGCAGGATTGCTAATTTCATGAGTAGCTGAGGGGTGAAAAGCCCCTTATTTCAAGTCTTGGGGGATATCTGCCAAGTACATCTGCTTTGGGACTAGCACACCTAGCTAGCCAAGACAGCAGAACTGTAAGGATTCCAGGGTTCGCTCAAGAGTCTTTTGTGGATTATGTCAACATTTGTCAAGATGTTCTTTTTAAAACAAAATTTTTCAACTCAGTAAACCGTTTTTGATGGCCTTATTTCAGCCAAAAATTTCCAAGAATCTCTGCTTTCAGAGTCTGAACCACACACAGAAAACATTTGGCATGATTATTTTCTTTCCTTAGGATTCTTTATGGCAAGAAAAATTACACAAATATTCCATTTATCTCAATTTTGAAATACATGTGTAAGATTTATGTGTGCCCCTGACAGATTGTAGGCTGATCTCCAGTCACTAATCCTCACTTTCCTAAAGACAGAAAATATCTGGACAAAATTCTTATGGAAGAACAAAATACGTGTTTGTGTTTAGGCACTGAATAGCTTTCTCCGACTGAATTAAAACCGAGTCTTAACATTCAGGTATATTGAACTTATCCAGTTTGGTGTCTCAATTGCTCATGACTTTCTGGGTAGCTGCACAGTATTTTGTGTGTATTTCTGTAGTGTATAGCTTTTGACCATTCCCAATCAGGCCAAAATTTAGACAAAGGTTAAAATAATATTTTAAAATATTAAAAAAGAATATTGAAATATACTTAATGTACGGTAAAGTAAAAAAAAGTCTAAATCACTTCACTTACTACTCTTTTTTTCCCCCCTGGAACCTCATGACTCTAGGGGCCCCACACCTGAATTGCAGACATTTCTTGTTTTCAGCATTGCTGGATTAAAGAAAAAAAAAACATCTCCAATCCCTTTTATTCTGGATTCCTAAGGGAATGAGACTTATGATCTTATTCTGCCTGCCTGTCAGTCAGTCTCTTAATAACTTTTGAATTCGTTGGCTGTTTTCAGTCACCTTTGACACAGGATAACCACTCCTCAGATATTACGTTCCCACACATTTTGGGCAAATCAACGGCTAGGCCAAGGAGAAAGACTTTATTAGAAATGCCTCCAAGGGGATGACAAGGCTGCCTGTTATCCCTCCCGCAGGGGAGCAACCACCCAACCAGTCAGCAAGTTGGTGTGAACCTAGTTCCAGGTTATCCATCACACCCAGGCTGTGACACTGGGGGACCTGGAAATGTGAGTGCAGAGTGGATGTGGGAATGTCTGGGGTCGTGGAAAGGGGGGATGGTTAGAACTGTGTGTGTTAGAAAAGATGGGGAGACTAGGACGATGCAGTGCATGTGATGAAGGGACAATGAGGAAGGTGGGCTTATTGTAGGACTGTGCCTGAGATGGGGATGTTAAAGCCAAATCAATAAGGATATTTTGCTCAATATCAATATGAAACTAGGCTTAGACTCAGGCACAGAGGGGAAGGTGAGATGCATTTGCAATTCTGTTTGTGTATTTTGTATCCCAGCTACTTGGTGGGTGACAATGAGTAGTTAGACAACTGATTATTGAGTGTTTGCTGACGATCTGTCTAATCTTAGTCCAGAGTGAGTGTATTTAACATCTTGATTTCTCTATTGAATAATCTTGTGGCATTGGTTGCATACAGTACTTTCTAACATCTTATTAACTAAACAAAATCACAGAGCACTTTTAACAATAAGTGGTTTGTTTGGCTGCATTAATATCAATTCAAACTGGTTTTACTGTCACTGCATACATATGAGACATCTCTTTCAGAAAACCGTATTTATTCCCTTTGTGAGAAAAAATCTTAATAGAGACTCCCACCACCCAGCATACTCCTCTCTTTGAGAAATTTTCTAAATTTCAGCAAGTTTTGCAGTAAACAAATGCAGCTCTTGGAATATTTCAGTGTGTTATGGAGCTAACTTGCCAGGCTTTCAAACCCTCTGCAACAATTCGAAGAAATTATTTGGTGTTTTGCTTATGTTCTTAGTGCTTTGGGAAAGGAATATTTGCAAGGATTTACTGAAAGAGAGCACCAAACTTGGTGTCATTTTGGTTTGGAAAATGCTATCATTATGGTTCTGTTTATTTATCTGTTTTGTTGCATGATGTGTTTTGATCAGGAAGGCTCTGTAGGCAGAATAAAATGGAGAGTATGAAACAGATCGAACAGCAACTGTTATTTGACGTGCTCTGTCCACAGTCCTAGTTTATTAAATGTGGGGTGAAACAACTAAAGCACTAGTGATTAATATATCTCAATATTTCATGAAAGGAGCTCCTGGGTTTTGGTGGTAGTGGCTGCTGTTTTTCATATGAAATTGGTAGAGTATCTCATTAAACAAAAGGCAATTATAGGTATTAGCAATAATAATAGAATAATAATAAAAAAAAATCAACCAAAAAAAATACCCCCCATGGATGTAATTTTAGAAATGCATTATGCAAGGGGTTAATTTGAGAGCTATTTTTTTTTCACGTTTTGAAAGCTTTGCTGTAATTTTGTATGAAATTTGAGATCAGTGAGTCTATAATATCTTATGAATAATTTACAACGCCAACAGTCTTTCTCTGGAAGAATACTAAATTAATTAAGGCCTGGAGGAATTTCCATGTGTTTAAGCCACATGATATCTTCAAGGTTTTACTGCTTCAAAGTCACTGAGATGAACTCCTGGCTTTTCAGGTGTTAAGAGTCCCAGGAAAACAAGATGGGTGCCCTTGCTTTAGCCTGGAAAAACTAAAGGGCTTGAGTGTGTGGGTTTTGTGTGAATCTATTAAAATGAGAGTACCTTAAACACACTTTGTTCTCTCATTTTTTGGGGATGTTGTATTTAAAGGACCTGCCTTACTGTCTCCCACACCCACAGGTATTTTGCTGGGTTGGATGGCACGCTGCAGTCCCCCAGCCAGCTCTTTAGGGTGACTCGTTTCTCTGAGTTAAAGGAGATGGAAGCCATCTCCCAACAACAGGAAGAACCCATAACTGAGCTTAGCCCTGCTCTGGAAAGCACAAAGCTTACTTCTAACCCCACTAGCCTGTGCAGAAAGAGATTTCTTTGAACCTGTTGGTCAACCTTCAGAGAATCAGTCGGAAGCCTCTTATTTTTGCAAGACTCAAGCCATAAGCATCTCCCACAGCTGATAATACAGTGATGGCTGGATATGGTGAAATAATGTGTGCCACACACGCATTATTTATTTAAACAGGACAAAATAGCTGCTTTCCAGCTGCTCTCGATGCCCTTGAGTTGAAATGCAAATACAGAAGAAACATGTGCCACTATAACCAGCTGACAGCCGTTCCCCTTCCCTGAAAACCAGTCAAGCAAAGTAGAGGAAACAAGTCCCTCTTTCCCATGGCTCACCACTCTCAGCATTCTCTGCTTACTTCCAGCTGCTGACCAACTACCCTGGGCAGGGAAATTTATTCTCTGTAAGAAACTCTTCAAAAGTACCTTGTTTAGGCTCCCATTCAGGACATTATTTATTGAACCAGCCTACTATTTGTATATCTATATGAGTGCCTCACAGGTGTTATGTTCTTCTTCTTAACCCACTTCTGTGCCATCCCCGCTTCAGGGGCAACAAACTGGAATAGAGAGTGCAGAGGTTACTTTGCCAAAGATACGT